TCGGATCAGGCCGACACCTTGGTTACTTTAGGGTTACTAGCCTATGGTAAACCTCCCTATGTGCGCACTAGATTGTAGAGGGACTTTCCCTCCGTACTAGAATCAAGTTCTAGCCATAGTCAAACAACGACATCCCAAAGTTTTTAAAATCAACAAGTTATGTAACAACGTATATATCAGCATTTATATACTAGATAATTAACTATCTACCAAGCACAACCAAATTTGGAAATCTATACAATACATGTTCTAAGTCCACAACTAATATGATATGATGAATGTCGAATCTTCAGTGTGCGATTCGTTACACGCTATGCATGAAAGATGTCAAATACGAAGTGTGCAAATTATTACACAAGGCAACAATATACTCAATAAGGAAAACATATTCTCATGAGTATAAACATAACAACTATGTTATCCAATGTTCAAAACATAACCAAATGAATATACAACAATAAGGTAGAGCTTTAATTAAATCATGCTAATTTAAATCCCAAGGTTCTAAAACAACTTCTAATAGTCCCAAATTAATATATGCTAGTAAACAAGTCATGATCAATACAATTATCAAGTTAAAAACTTAATTAAGCTAAGGGGGCCATTAAATAAATTTTAATTAATACTTTTAATTAAAATCCCTAGATTTTCAAACTTATCTAAATGCTCTCAATTTAACCTATGTTAGGGAACATGCCAAGGCCTATTGTAATATCACATTACAAGCTTATTTCATCCAAGTTACCTCCATTTAAATTAAACTTTCACCAAAGATAAATATTAAATAAAAATTGTATTTCTCATACAATTAGTCCCAATTTAATATATATGAGCAACCATACCAAAACTTAATTTATCATCATGCCACAATCAAATTCCAAGTTGTATATCATCATGGGGATTAAATCTTAAACAAGAAATTCATCAAATGAAGGGTTCTAAAAACTTAACCAAATATTCTAAATCAAATATATGTGAAACTATATGGCATGTAAATCAAGAGTATCAAGTCGGAATTCAAATGGAGTGAATAGTACACTCGGAGCAATTTAATTAAGCTAATTAATTAAATATTACTAGGCTTCAAAACTTCTCCGATTACTCTCAAATTAACATATGTTGAAGAGCATACTAGGGCCTAATATAATATGCTATCATATGTTGATTTAAAGCTAGATAAGGCCACATGATTTAATATTTTATATAAGATAAATATTAATTAAAATCTTCAATACTTGTCCAAATAATCTAGATTTAATATATGTCAATCTACATATCAAGGTGTAATATAATGTCAAGCCACAAGTTTAAAACATGCTATAATTCACCGGAAAAATTAAATTTCATACTAGAAAATAAATAATAAAAAATTCTAGATTTAATATCCAAGCATGCAATTGAGTTGAATAAGCATCACAAACATATAATAGAGCAAGAAAGTAAATTACAACACCCCCTACCTCATTTTGAGATGAAAATCCCAAATCCCCACCGGAAGAAAATTGTTCCAAATCTGCCAAAATCGAGGGGTTTTATTGAGGACAACACGATCTACATGAATCCGAAGGAAGCTCTATGAAAATCACAACTTGACTCTTAACCCAAACTCAAGAAATGGTCGAAAATGAATTCTAATAAGGGGAAATGGTAGAACACGTCGAGGGGAACAAAAACCGTGAAGGCCAAAGACTTTTCACTTAGGAAAGTAAATCAAAGGAGGAGAGAGTAGGTGGCAGCTCCATGGACATCCATAGCTGCTTTTGGTCGTGCAAGGAGAGTGCGGAAGATGAGTGAAATCTGATTTTTCACTTTAAGTCCTCCTATTTATAGTAAGTCTCAAAAACTGCCCCGAAAAGGCCCCTATTTGTCCAGAAAAGTGAATTTTGAGCAAAGGCACTCAAACGGAAAAATTCCATGAACAAAAAAGATTCAAAATAAAAAAATATGAACAACGGAAGAAACGGCGTAAAAAATCGAGTCCCGAGTAAAAAGTTATGCCCCGAACAAGTTCGACGGCAACTGGGTCTAGAAACTCTGAAACTGGAGAAAAACGACCAAAAGGAAATTCTAAGAGTCCACGACTCAACGAAATGTGAAAATAAATCCCGTACGAGGATTCAGGCTCTAGATGAGAAATTTTGCAATAACTTTCGTTAATTGTACAATGACCCCTACAAAAAGGATTAACTGCGAAACTGTCCCAAAATGAAAATATCTTAGATACCCCTGAAGTAAAATATCTTCAAAAGATATTTATGAAAAATACCCCAACAAAAGAAAAAGATTCTGAAGAATTGTGCATCCATGCCACTATGGACACCGGGAGCAACCAGAGTACTTTCTTGCAAAAGTAAATATACGTATTTCGAGGAAACCACTCAAGATGAAGACACGTGAAGTCAAAAACCAACTCCGACCATGAGAAGTGAGGTTATGCCAACAATGTGACAAACGGGGAAAAGACAGAATAGGAAAAAAGACGAAACAAAGAAAAGGACGAGAGGCGCATAGTGTCGAAAAACGGAAAATGTGAAAATGACACGGTCCTTAAATAAAGTTGTCAATCCACGGAAAAGAGTCTCAGGAACTAATTTCGAGCACTCGAGATGACACTAAGCGACACGAAACAAAGCTCAGAAAAGAAAATTAAACAAAAAAAATTCATTCATAAAATTTCAGGAAAAAGGAAAGGAAGGCAAATGACCGGGTCGTTACAATATTAGTACCTAATGAAGCCAACTCAGTTCAAAAAATCAATTATAGAAGATTTTATTTTCCCTAGAATTCTTATTAAAGATTATAGAAGAAAACCCTACAATTATCCAAGATTTCATATACACTGGCCAGAATGCTTAACCAATGTCAATTTCAACTAAAAAAATATCACAATTTACATTAACAGATGACAAATGAAAGAATTAAAAATTCTCAAATTTATGTGTAACAATAGTCAGTTAGCACTGTGTGAATACCTTATTTGGATGGTAAAGGTGATCAGTATGCCTATTTATTAAACTTCACAGCGTTTTTTTTTTTTTTTCTCATATATATCAAATAATAACCTGTGAAATGTGTAATTGGCGCATACATTTAAAACCTAAAATTTTGGATAACACATTGGCACCTAATGAAGCCAACTCAGTTCAAAAAATCAATTATGGAAGATTTTACATTCACTAGAATGCTTATTGAAGATTATAGAAGAAAGCCGTATAATTATCCAAGATTAAAGATTCACTAGAATGTTTAACCAATGTCAATTTCAACTAAAAAAAAAATCATATTTACACTAACAGATGACAAATGAAAGAATTATAAATTGTTACATTTATGTGTGACATAAGTTAGTTAGTATTGTGTCAATACCTTGTTTTAATGGTAAAGGTCATCAGTGTTATAATTTATGAAACTTCGCAATGTTTATTTTCTCATAAATATCAAATAATAACCTATGAAATGTGTAATTACCGCATACATTTAATACCAAAATTTTTGGATGACACATTGGTACCTAATGAAGCTAACTCAATTCAAAAAATCAATTATAGAAGATTTTATATTCACTACAATGACAAATGACAAATGAAAGAATCATAAATTAAGTTCTAAATCTACAATGTTCAGTTCAAAACCAAAATTTCACTGTATTTTGAACAAATAATGAACAATACTATTAAATGCACAATATTAATAACATGTATTAAGACTTACCAACCATCAAGCATTAATTAGGTCAATTGTAGATACCAGTTCAGATCCATTGTAGATTTCTTTTCTATAGATGAAGAGGAGAATCTTATTAAAGAAATCATCAATTTCTGGAAGGAAATCACTGTAATTTGGGTTTTGATTCAAAAAAGGAAATAAAAAAGTAAAAATAGAGGAGGGAGGAATTAGGGTTTTAAATAAAAAAGGAATTCAAAAGCAATATGTTTTTTATGGAATAAGGAAAGACGAATTAAGGTTTGGATTAAAGAAATTAAAAAGAAATAATGAACAAAACAAAAAGGGGAAGAGGGAAATAACAAAACCAAAAGGAAAGAAAGAAAGGGAAAGTGACAGTGTAGGGGGAGGGGAACTTTTGGTATTTTCTTTCTTTTTTTTTTTGTTTTTTTTTTTTTTTTGGTTTACAGTTGGCACGTTAAGTTTACTGTGCCGTTTGTTGACCTTTTTTTTCTTGTGCCAAGACAAATACAGCATTAGGCACTAAACTGCTGGGGACTGCAGAATAAGGAACAGCAGGGATTTGAGCCCTTGTTGGTTAATGCGTTTCGCTATTTGGGCATTATCTGTGACCTAGTCAAGGCCTTCAAGGACCGATTATCTCAATACGGCACCGATTATATATATACAACAATACACACATATATTTGCAAGTATCGGTTAGGGTTGAGAGAGCTACGAAGAGAGAGAAAAGAGATGAGTCGGCGCCATTACCATTCCTTCCTTGTGATCTCATATTCAAGATTCTGTTATGGTTACCCGTCAAGTCTATTCTCCGATTCAAGTGTGTGTGCATGTCATGGTTCACTTTCTTCACCGATCCTGACTTTGTGAATAAACATCTCAGCCGATCCCAAACATCCAAACTCATAGTTTCATGTCGGTCTTCCACTTCATGCCCTACACTCCTCGTAGTACCAACATGTGGTACTGATGATGAGAATCATGATCCAAGACCCATTCACCATATTGAAACCAGGGGTACAAAGTTCAACATCTTGGATTCCTGTGATGGCTTGGTATTATATGGAACTGTTCCTTCCTAAAATTATTAGTTTCTAAAATTATTTGTTGGCGTCACTCCGACAGGCTTTGCTTGCTGAATCCTTCCACCGGAAAACACAATATATTACCAGTTTTACCCTTGTCAATTGAAAAAATTATAGCCTCAGACTCATACGGATTTGGTTATGATGAATCTATTGATGATTACAAAGTGGTGGTAATCTCCTCCTCACCCTCTAATAGAGTATTCGGCCGCGAGCCCGCGGCCAATAATGTATGTATATACACTAAAAACAAATTCTTGGAGAAGGATTCAAGACATCCCTCTTGGTATCCATTTGCCTTTGAAGGCATCGGGTATACTTCTGCACGGAGTTCTTCACTGGTTAAATGCATATGACTGCGAGATCATTTGTTTTGATTTAGTAGAGGAGAAATTTCGATTCTTGCGTTTACATCCAGGCCTTATAGGTGATGATCCACTAGATACTCGGTACTCAACGCTTGAAGTGCTCAGAGGATGTCTCTGTATTAGTTGCTTAAAATGGGAACCAAATTGTTTACCTTGTAGAGAGTTTTGGGTGATGAAGGAATATTTCAAGAATGATTGGTCAAGCATGACATGTGATAGCAATAAGTCACTGGATGATTTCTCAAACAGTGATAAAGAAGATCTATTTTCATTTGAAAAAAGGTGGTTGGTTGGGTACAATGTAGAAAAAGATTCATACTGCAGGTATCATGTGTTTGACTGTAACTCTGATACAATGTGGGAATTAGAGATTTACCTGGAGACCATTGTTTCTCCATATCACGTACCATAGACTTTATAATGTACTAGATAATCTTATTCATTCTGGCATATTTTAATGTATAGCATAAACCACTGGTAACTAGTTTTATATATGCATTTAATATTTGTTTATTTGTTTTTGTTTATGATTTACTATGTGAAAAAAAAAAAAAAAAAAAAAAAAAAAAAAAAATTGGTTTTATAGGATTGTTGACAATATCCATTGTTGCGTGTGATTACAGTGAGACAAGCTTTCCATTAGACCAGAATTGTGGTCTTAGAAGTAGCATCCCCTTTGATTCATGGGCTAGCTTAAATGGGTGACCCTTAAAACCAAGCTAGTTAGTAATGATGTTATATCAATAGTTGGTGGGTGTACAGATCCTTATCCCTTTCTACCCACCCTTGACAGCCCCTCCATGTCATTCCTTCACTATCCTAATTGTTTTTTATCTGAAAATCAATATAATTTTTTTATATTTATCATTTTTGTAACTACGAATCAGAGGGTCTAATTCGCTAACCGAGTTCTTATCCAGATCAATATAGTTTGTCTTTCATATTTTAAATTTAGGTATAACTATATATAAAAAAAACACTAATTTGCTTGTACTCTGGGTACCTTTGTTGAGTTATTTCAAGTGTTTGATATTTTTCATTTGTGCTCAATCACTAGGGACAACCATATTTGGAAAAAGGTATTCGTCTACATAGCTTTTTTGATTGAATTGTTTAAAGTGTAGTGAATTGTTGGATTTAATTAGAAACAACGGAAATGTTGGCAAAGTATATATGGTTTTAAATAAGGAAAAATATTGTTTTATCTCGTAGGCGACAAGATATATGCTAATAGCTAACAAGTTGAATGTAGAATCTTGTTTAGATGTTGTACTTGTGAGTTGTGACTGTGTTAATAGCAGATATGTTTGATTGAGTAATTGAATGCTAGTGTATCTTGATTTCCATCAGCTTTGTGACTGGGTGGGTAGCTTTTAATATTAAAGGGTTAAGAAACTGTGTTCCATTCTTAATAGATTGCTTGTCTTTAGTCAGTCTTTGATTTTTATATGAACCGGCCATTTTTTAAAAACCGGCCCGACAGCAAACCGGCCCAAATTTAACTACTGACAGCCCACTCTGCTGGACCGCTTACATTGTAATTGGGGCCAATTCAACTCTTTTGGCAAAGAGCCAGCCCAATTCACACAACTATTACTTTGCCTCGTGACACTTATGTTACTCATTTTATAGAAGCTCTTTCCCTCCATTTTTTTTTTTTTTTTTTTTTTTTTTTACATAATCTCATTACATTAAATCAATCCTTTTTCATTTTCAATATCCTTTCCTGAAATTAATAAGAGATTTTTATTCACCAAGTCAATCAAATTATCTCACATTAAATTTATCATAATATTGATAGTTTTTTATTTAATAAAAAAACTCTTTATTTGCTCATTATTGTAAATTACATAATAAAATAAACATAAAATATTGTTTGAAATTTTTATTCATATAGACCCATTATGGGTACTTTGATAATTTAATCACAACCAAAACAATTAAAAATACTAAAACTCATCCTCTTAGATAAAAAAAATAAAATAAAATAATACTAAAACTCATCTTTGGGATGGAGGGAATAATTTTTAATTTTTTTGTCCCAAATTTTTATGAAAAATTATTAATGTGTTTATTCTCATCTTTAAATTAATTCATTGAATCAAATGACTTGTAATTTGCTCTTTCCATCATAAAATTAGGAACCAACTTTTAAACCATTAACTAAAAAAATTGACAAATATTCTTAATTATTAAAAAACAAAAGCAAAAATCAGAGTTATTTTATTTTCAAAATTTTGAAAAGATGAGACATTAACAAAAATAATTTTACTTTCTATTTCAGCACTAAAAAATCAATATCATTAATTTTACTTATCTGAAAAGTAAAAGTAGGGCATGTGTTTATTTTACCGTATTCTAATGGTTATAGACACACGGTCAATCATGTAGCATTTCTTTTCCGAAATTGTTCCCAAGACTATGATACTAGATGGAAAATATGGCGAAAGGGTGTACAGACCTAGCATAGGACTAGTGGGGGCGGATGCCCCAACTGGTTTTTTTATATTTTTATTTTATACCTTAAATTTTTTAGAATTTATGAAAATGCTTCCACTAAAATTATAATTCGCCCCCACTGAATTATTTTTTTTGCATTTTATACTTTAAATTTTTGAGAATTTTTGAAGATGCCCCCACTAATATTACAATTTGAACCCCCTAATTTTTTTTTTTTTTTTTTTTTTTTTTTTTTTTTTTTTTTTTTTGCATTTTACTTTAAATTTTTAAAAATTTATGAAGAAAACTTCATTAAAATTACAACAATGGACCCACTATATAAATTTGTCCCACAAATTAAAAGACCGTTGTAATGATTCTGATTTTTCTCATTTTTCATTTTCTGAGATTTTTTTGAATTATTTTTGTCTTGTCTCGTTTTGTGTGCCGGACATCATAGGGTGTGCCGGACACCGTGGGGTGTGTCGGGCATTTTTAAGAGTTGGTTGGAGCATTTCCTTGAGTTCAGGACTTGTCGAAATGCATAGGTTGCCATTTTGATATTTTTCCATTTTTCGGACCGAGAGGTCATAGGTAAGATTCACTACCGGAGTTGTTGAGCACAAGAATTGTGTTTCGGGTCCATTACATTTCATGCATAGTTATTTAATGCATTTTGTGTGGTTTCATAGTCGATTGTATAGTTGTAATTTAATTAGAATATATATATATATATATATATATATAGTAAAGGTAAGATTTTTATTAAAGTCAGTGAGACCTGCCATTTCACTAAGCCATTATAATGGCCTGGCATCAGATTCTCTCATCTCTCATGCCAAACTCTCTCCAAGTCTCCTTTTTTTTTTTTTTTTTTTCATATTTCTCCTCCATTTTTCGGCCAATCAATTAGGTTTTCGATCTTGGTTCCTTAATGGAATTTTTTTTTCTCATCGTTCTCTATCACATGGTAAAAGGATTTAATTTTCGGAGGAGCGGTGATTATTTTACAAATTTTTTGAAATTTTTAGATTTAAGGTTTCGGAGGGGGTTTTGGGCTACTTGGAGTCGGATTCTGGAGACATGCCTTTGGAACATTAGAATCTCCTCATCGTCGGCTATGTTCCCACAGAACAGTTTTTCATTCTGCCACCGTTAACCTACGTTGACTTCCGTTGATTGGCATTGGCCGCGTTGACTTTTCCAGCCGGGGATGCATTTTGGCTACTTTTGAGGTAGGGGTGTTTTAACCATGATCTCTTTGATTCTAGTGACTCATTTTTCTATATATGATGTATAACATGCTTAATTGTGGATATTTTTATGAGAATTTGTTATAATGTTGTGTATATATATTGTTTATCCATGTGAGTTTTTATGTGTAAATGGTATGTGTACATGTGGTTTATTGAATTGATTCGAAAAGCATGTTTAGGTGATTGTGTTTTTATCCCTTATGCTTAGCTGCTGAAATTTGGTTGTTAATGAGCATGTTATATTTTTATGAGAATTTCCTTATTAAGCATTCAACGTTGTAAGGTTGGATTGTATAAAATTATGACATTTGGGAAGCACGAAGCATTCATGCATTCTATTGGGAAAGAAAAGGGGAAAAAGTTTTGAAAAGCAAATGGAAATTATTTTGGGGAAAATGTTTTGAAAAGGGTTTGAGAAAACCCGGACGCTTAGGAGGTGCCTAGTGGTTTATGGCGTTAATATGATCTAAAGGGAACTAGGGAGAGACCTTAGTGCGGTTGAGCTACCTAGGCCCTGAATGACGGCATAGAGGTGACATGTGGTTGGGGATAGCTAGCCAATCCTTCTATTGCGACGCCATAGAGGTGCTATGGGTCAGGTTGCATTAGCGGTTTGGAACAGTGAAACGGAAATGTTTTGGAAATGGGAAGCGACATTGGCACATCATTGCATTACATTGGCATGCATTATATACATATGGTTAGATAACCTGTTTTGTAGTTGTTGATGATATTATTGTCATTGTGTTTTTTCCCCTGATTGACATGATCCCATTTATTTTTACCCTATACTTTGTGTGGATTCAAGGGATCATTAAGATGTGTGTCTTAGACACCTCCTACTGAGCGGCTGGCTCATCCCATCATATTATTACATTTTTCAGGTCACGGGAAGGAAGTGGCGGACGACGCTCCTCCACAAGTTTGAATAGGTTAGTGGACTGTTTTGACATTTTTTGTATTTGTGATCCCATTTTATATATATATATATAGATATATATATATATATATATATATAAGCGTTGGGGTGGCACGTATACTATGTATCAACCTTGGAATTGACTATAGTGCCCTTAGACGACCTCGAGTTCGGGTAAAGACCAAGGTAGCGATTCGGATTCTCGGGTTCGGGTCGTTACAACCGCCCCCCTCACAAAAATTTTTGGGTCGGTCACTGGGTCTGATCACTATTCTTCTCCAACTCTGGGGTTCAATCACAAATTTTTTTGAAGTTGGGATCTAATCACAATTTTCTGAAACTAAAGTCCATGTCTTAGTAATACGAGTTTTGCTCTGGATTGTAATTTGAATCCCAACATTATTACTTTGATATATGTAATTTTTCCTAAATTTTGAATACTTTTGATAATACTACATAGGGCTGTAAATGAACCGAGCTATTCATGAACAACTCGGGCTCGGCTCGCTAGTAAATGAGCCGAGCCCGAGCCCAATTTTCAGGCTCGTTTATTAAACAAACCGAGCCCGAGCCCAATTTTCAGGCTCCTTTACTAAACGAGCTGAGCTCGAACAACGTTAGGCTCGGCTCGTATAAGCTTGTGATCAGGGGCTCGGCAAGGCTCGGGCTTGGCTCACTATATATATATATATATAATATAATATATAATAACTGACACATTAAAAAACATAACTTAGCATAGCTCGAACCCAAAACTTGGGTATGAAAAAATTTAACTCTTAACACTCCTACCAGGTT